TTTTGTGGAATTGCTGGGTTACATGATAATTATATATTTAACCTTTTGAGGAACTATTTTTCAAAAAAGGCAGCAGTTTTATTTTTAAGAGTTGAAAATAGGAAACATGACAAATGTTCACCAGTAGATGAATGGAATAAACAAATTGTTATATATTCATGTAATGGGATATTACTATGCAATAAAACAGATGAACTATAGATAATTGTAACATACATGAATCTCAAAATAAATTTGCTATTTAAAGCAAATTTGCTTTAAACAATAAGTTTGCTGTTTAAGGAGGCAGGGCATAGTGTATGATCCCATTCATATAAACTCTAAAAAGTTCAAACTAATCTATACTGAAGCACTATAGATTGTTGTGGCCTGAGGGATTTGGACTGGGCAAAGAAGAGGGAGAAGTGGATTACACAGGGATATGAGGAACCTTTGCAGATTATGGATATGTCATTATTTTGTGGTGATTGTGTTATGATTATATACATATGTAAAATTTATCAAATTGTAAACTTTTAAAATGTGCAATTTGTTGATATCACAATTATATCTCAAAATAAAAAAATGTCAGGCACAGATAACTAAAATGGATGGAAGTGGGGCTGGGGTTGTGGCTCAGTGATAGAACGCTTGCCTAGAATGCATGAGGTACTGGGTTCAATCCTCAGCACCACATAAAAATAAAATAAAGATATTGTGTCCACCTAAAAACTAAAAAATAAATATTTTTTAAAAATATATGGAAAGGGAGGACACATAACAATTAAAACTTAAAATGATTCATTCTTGCATGGATGTAGAAACTGATGTAGAAACTGAACCTGAAGGCAGAGAACTTGGGTGTCATATTTCACCTCCATTCCCTGCTTCTGCCTCACTACCCAGCACCCACAAGCACTTAATAAATATCTGTTGGTACTGAAGTAATAGTTCCTGAGTTCTCCCACAAAATAATGTATTATTTCACACTTCTAGGAATAGAAACTAAAAAATACATACATTGGGGCTGAGGATGTGACTCAAGTAGTAGTGCATTCGCCTAGCATGCGTGAGGCACTGAGTTCGATTCTCAGCACCATATAAAAATAAAAATATATTTTTAAAAATACATGCATTTCATTGCATATTTAAAAGGCTTGTCATTTTTCTATTTCTTTTCTTCATTCCATGATCCTTTTCAAGTAAAAAGAAGAGGAACAAAATTATTTGAGACTTTACACTTCATCATTCAAAGAAAGTATTTATCTCCATTATATGCCAAACACTTCTAGGCACTTGAGAGACTAGAGAGAACAAATGAAGGGATGCATCTTGAATGGAGATAGGAATGCTTATGTTTCCCAGTCTGAAATCCATTTTCTTAACTTTCTTTTAATTCTCAGAAGTTGGGAAACTTGAGTTCCATTCTTAATAACCTCTGAGAAGGGACACTCTCTAGAGGGAGATTGGAACCAGTCTCATAGAAAAAGGCATATACTCACTCTGTATGCCTGTGCTTTATATTTTATTTCTTTTTTTTTTCTTGAGAGAGAGAGAATTTTTTAGTATTTATTTTTTAGTTTTCGGCGGTCACAACATCTTTGTTTGTATGTGGTGCTGAGGATTGAACCCGGGCTACATGCATGCCAAGCGAGCGCGCTACCGCTTGAGCCATATCCCCAGCCCCAATATATTCTCTTTTAATATTTATTTTTGTTGTGCTGAGATTGAACCCAGGGCCTTGTGCATATGAGGCAAGCATTCGACCACTGAGCTATACCCATAGCCCTATTCAATTTTAATACTATCATCTCAGGTCAAATTATTCTAAAATGAATCACAAAATGTAAGCTTTTAATTAAATAATGTGAATGTTCTATGGCCATTTGTTTTTCTTTTTCATTTAAATCTCCCTTAACTCAGACAAGTGGTGTGAGAAATATTGTCTATTCTGCTATATATGGAATGAAAAGTTCCAAATGTTTCAGATAAAGAGAGAAGTCTGGAGACAGTTGAAATTGGAGCTGGATAATTCTAATTTGACTCTATACTTGAAATAAAATATAGGTTACTTAAAACTGGTGTGTTTAAGGTTATAAAACAAGAGCTGTCTATATACCATCATGATAGCAACTTGTTATTATTATATCATATTCTCTTTTAGAGTTTTTAAACACATTCTTAGGAATTTCACAAAAAAGAACTACCAGGAATATGAACAAAGCCCCCCATCTTTTGCAAGACAATATTCCTTTAGCTCATTTTTTAACCTGAAAAATATAACCTAATATTTATAGCTTGATTAATTATTTGTTTACTTTCTCTCTGTTATTTCTTTGTTATTTCTGATTTAAAATTCTGGAAAACATAGCTTTAGCTATATTTCTAATTCTTTTTACGAAGACCATATTAACGTATTCACTTGAAATTTTTATTTTTGAACCATAACTGCAAACATTTTTTTTTGGTTTAAACAAAGAGAATAATTTGCATGATACCAGTATATAAAACTTGTCTTCAAGTCTATGTCAGGTATCTCAAAACTATGAAGTTATTCATATAATAAAATATGTACTATGTTACTATAATAAAATATATACTATGTTAAAATAATACATGCAGTTGATTACATGTATAATGTTATACAGAAAGGGTAACCTGTCCCAAATAGGCATCACTTATAACAACAATAATACATAATAATTGTAATGAATCAATGAACTGTGAGCTCTGAAAACGTGTTCACTATGATATCCTGTCACTTTTTATCAAAATATCTAATATAAAGAAGCTTTACTAATTTTCTAATTTACTAATAAGTATTTATTGTATAAATGAAAGACAGTCTAAGAATTAATCTATTAAATTGGTAACAAATCTCTAATAAATGCTTTAAATTTTATTTTTTTATTCTGATTTATTATATATGACAGCAGAATGCATGACAATTCATATTATACATATAGAGTACAATTTTTCATATCTCTGGTTGAATACAAAATATATTCACTCTATTCGTGTCTTCATACATGTAATTTGGATAATGATGTCCATCTCATTCCACCATCATTTCTAACCCCATGCCCCCTCTCTTTCCTTCCCATACCTTTGCCCTATCTAGAGTTCATCTATTACTTCCATGCTGCCCCTCCCTACCCCACTATGAAACAGCCTGATGCTGGTTGTTTTAATGAATCATAATTATAGCCATTATTTATCAGATACTGTTAAAACACTTCATGAACTAGATTTCTTTTTAAAGTCATGTTTGTTGAGATATAATTTATATGTGGTACAATTTTCCCTAATTAGTTTTATAGTTATATGAATTTTGGCAACACGAATATAAAAAATGACAACATACTTATATGGATATATAGTACTATAGTCAAGATACAGAGCATATTACCTTATTCTCCTTTATTTTTTTAAACAAATTAAGTTTAATATATTTTCATTTAACCCAATGGATTACCAACATAATTTGCAAAGAAAATAATTGTTAGTAAGATATTTCATGTTCATTTTGTTTGTCCTAGTAATTCTTTGGAATCTATTTAACACATAGCACACCAATTCAGAGTAGACACATTTTCAAATACTCAATAGCCTCATGTAACCAATGGCTGCCATATTGGCTCCTTTCTCCATCTTTCACGTTTTGGTGAGACAGATGCTGTAGGCTGCATGATAAGTCCCCTTGTTATGTGGTTTCTTGATGAGTTCCATTAGAAAGGGACACCAAGGAGAAGAACTTAGAATATACAAGAGTGGAACATGGTGCTTTATTCCTCCCTATAAGACTCTATTAGACTATGATTGGTTTCTACATGCTTTTGGTGGGAATAACTTCAGTTAGGTCACCTTCTCCTACAAGTTTTTCATAATGGCTTTCTCTACTTTCACGTCCTACCTCTCCAAGTCTACAGAAGAAAAGGTGCTTCACAAAATGTGTTTGCTTCCTTCAACCTTGTCCTTACCTTTATAAATGCCTTATTAAATAATTTTTACCCTGATTGATCTTTATCATCCTTGAATCTTGAATAATTGCTTTTTAAATTATAAGAATGTAAAATATACCTCATCTCATATCATAGGCAATGTAAATACACACACAAGATTAATTGTATATCAAAATATATAAAATGCTAAAACTTTTTAAAAATATTTATTTTTAGTTGTAGTTGGATACAATATCTTTAATTAATTAATTTCTTTTTATGTGGTACTGAGGATCAAACCCAGGGCCTCGCCCATGCTAGGCGAGCATTTTACCGCTGAGCCACAACCCAAGCTCCTAAAATGCTAAAACTTTTAAAGAAAATATGTACATAACTTTGTGAAGAGAAATGGAAAACAAAAAATATATATAAAATAAACAAACACCTGAAAAATTAGAAGATATTGTAGTTAAAATTTTTATGGGTAAAAATTTATCCAAAAGGGTTGAAAGAGACATGAATTGTATTACCGGTAATTTTGTTTATTTTTGGTATTTAGCTTGACTTGGTTTCACCTTTGGTTGGCTTTTTCTTTAAAAAAAGAAAAAGATCTTCCCTTTGCAGATTTTCATTGTTGTTTTTCATTTTGCCAAGAATGTTCTGTAGTACAGGCTTTCTTGCTGTAAATTCTTTTAGCTTTTGTTTATCGTGGAAAGTTTTTATTTCATCATCAAATTTGAACCTTAATTTTACTGGATATAAGATTCTTGGTTGGCATTCATTATCTTTTAGAGCTTGGTATATGTTGTTCCAGGATCTTCTGGCTTTGAGAGTCTGGGTTGAAAAATCTGCTGGTATCCAAATTGGTCTTCCCTTATAAGTAATCTGATATTTCTGTATTCTGGCCTTTAAAATTCTATCCTTATTCTGTATGCTAGGCATTTTCATTATATTGTGTCGTGGTGCAGATCTACTGTAATTTTGTACATGTCCTAAAGGTCTCTTATAATTGACTTTGCAGTTCATTCTTCATGCTTGGGAAATTTTCTGATATTATTTCATTGAAGAGATTGTGCATTCCTTTGGTTTAAATCTCTGAACCTTCCTCTATCCCAATAAGTCTTAAATTTGGTCTTTTGATGGTATCCCATAATTCTGGAATATTCTGTTCATGGTTTCTTACCATCTTCACTGTAAGGTCAACTTTATTTTTAAGACTGTATATTTTGTCTTCATTGTCTGAGGTCCTAACTTCCAAGTGATCTAGTCTGTTGGTGATGCTATCTGTTGAGTTTTTTAATTGGCTTTTTGTTTCTTTCATTTCAAGTCTTCTGTTTTTTTTCAGTATCTCTATATCTTTCTTGAAGTAATCTCTTGTAACCTATATTTGCTCTCTTATCTCGTTGTTGGTATTATTGATGGTTGTCTGTATTTGTTCTCTTATCTCTTTGTTGCAGTGATCAGTTTTTGCCTGTATCTGCTCACTTAGGTCATTCTTTAATTCCCAAATCATTTTAGTTATATATATTCTGAACTCCTTCACTGACATTTCACCTACTTCACTATCTATGGATTCTATTGTTATAGTATCTTGGTTTGTTTGGGGCACTTTCCTTCCTTGTTTTTTCATGATGTCTATGTGTCTTCCTCTCTTGAAGTGTAGATCTGAGCTATTACAGCTTCTGCCTTATTGTCTTATAGTGTCCCTACAGGTTATCAATACCTCACTTTTAATGGAAAGATCAATATTACAGCACTCAATGTACCCAACATGCAGTTAGCTTCTACTTTTATATTTACAGTTTTGTCACTAAAATAAAAAATGATGAGTTCGGTTATCTTCTACCATATAGTCATTAGGTTTGCCTAATGGTTTACAGTTTCTAATGGTAGAAGGGGCACTAGGGTGTTGGCTGAGATGTTTATGAGGTAGGATGTGAGAATATGGAAGTATTAGATTGTATGACAAGTGAGAGGGTAATCATAAGATGTTGGCTGTTAGTAGAAGAAACAAGAGATAGTCAACCCCATGCAAGACTCCCTGTTACCTCAGCAACAGAATAACTGTTAGCAGAGAAATAGGATAACTGTTAGTAGAGAAACCTCTGGTGCAGCCAGGCCCACAGGGACCTTGGTGACATCTTACCAGGTCCTTATTGTTGTCTTTTGAGAGAAGCGGCAATATCCCAGTTTCATGGTGATGGCAGCCTCAAGCCTTTATGTACCCTGATATTGGTCTGTGGAGCGACACTTTGGTGAATAAGGAACCCCAGCGCATGGTAGGCCTGTCCTCTGGATCTCTGGGCCATAGTGTGACAAGGCAGGCAGGCCTCTCCTCCTGATCTCTGGGCTCTAAATTTTAAGTTTGTATGAAAACAATTATGATGTTCTAGAATGACATGGGAAAGAATTTTCAAGAAATGTGGCAAAGACTTACCAATCCAATATTCATCTTCTTATTCCTTGGTAGCAAATTAGGGTTTAATAGTAGTTGTAGCAGTATACCTTAGTAGGTGTAGCAGTGTGTTTTAGTAGGTGTAGCAGTGTACCTTTCTTATGAAACTAAGTTTATCAGACTTCTAATAGCTAGACATAACCAATCAGATGTAAATAAAAATTTTGAGAGGGGCTTGTAGGAATGCTGTTAAGCAGAAGCTAACTTAGCCTAAAAGCTGATATTTTTGCCCTTGTTTCTTCCTTTTTGCTGCTTAAAACACAGGCTTGGTAGTAGGAGCTGCTGCAACCAGACTGAACCATGGTCTTAAAGGTGAAAGTCATGATTGTGGAGAGGAAAGATGGAAGGAGCCCACATCCCTGATATCAGGAGGATGTGGTGCCAACCCACCACTGCCTACCTCTGCACTTATCTTAACATCAGATAAAAATAAACTTTTGTCTTTTTTATGTATTGTTACATTGTTTTCTCCCATATGGACGAACCTAGTCTTAACTGGCACAGAGAGAAAATTTGAAGTCCAAAGTCATGATTTTGTAAATAAAAGGTTTATATAAGAGCAAGTTTTTAAAAATTTATAGTGCATATTTATGGTGTGAGTCTTAGACTCTCATAGCTATTGTGGTATAACACTGAATTTACAAAGCTGCTCTCATTTTAGAATCTTAAATATTTATAGCTAATAATTAAATTTTATACTTGTGATGTAATATATGATTATAGTGACTTTATAGGTGAAACAAATAATGTTTAAACCAGGTGAATTTTTGCCTCACTGATATATATTACACCTGAGATGAGGATCCAACAGTAGAAGTAGTATAGTACCTTAAATCTTCAACAGGTTGACCACAAGAAAGCATTAATCTTCCCATTAGTCTTCGTAGTAAGAGAAAATTCATAAGGTTAACCTCTTCAATTCACGTGACATAGCCAGTTATCGAAACATTCATAAATCTGTTGAATTCAAGGTAGACATATCATCATTCATGTTTTTAAAATGGCTTTAGAAAGGCATATGTGTACCAAAGGGGAAAAAAACTAAATGTGCTCATCAAGAGGCTTATCAACTGCAAACAATGCACATGTAAGAGTAGTTTTATGAGCTAATAATTTTTATGCTCTAGGGGGAAAAAATTATTTTTGAGCCTCTATAGGAGCTACACTAAATACAACCCTGTTGTATTAGTCAGGATCCTCTATAGGAACAGAACCAAAAGAATATATATGTGTGTATATAATTACAAGAGGGAATTTATTAGATTGGCTCCCTTGATCAGAGGCTGAGGAGTCCCATTGATCAGAGGCTGTGGAGTCCCACAATGAACTATATACAGGCTGAAGAACAGGAGAAACCAGTAGCTGCCCAGTTCAAGAAGCTGGAAACCTTAGAACAGGAGGGACCATTGATGCAGCCCTAATTTGAGGTTGAAGATCTGGAACCTCCCTGGGAAGTTGAGGATATGAGCCAACTTTCAAAGGCTAAAGAAGTAAGTCTGATGTCCATGGACAAAGGCAGTATCAAAAAAATACACCTGCTCAAGAAGAATTGAGATTGTACAAGCTACCAGGATACATGGAATATGGATCAGCAAGTATCCCTATCCAGGTCTCTCACTTAAAAGCTGATATTCTTTTCTTTTTGTTGTGGGTGCTTTCATTTTAAAAATAGAATGTAAGAATTTTTTACCAGATAAATAATATGTACTTTGGGGATAAACTTTTGTATTGAAGTATGACTTACATTTAGAAAAACGCACAAACATGAAGTACACACTTCAATGAGGTATCACAGTGAAATGTAGCCATCATCCGAAGGTTTTTTGTTGTTTTATTTTAGAAAAGGGACTCACTGCTGTAAGGGAAATGCAAGTGCAAATAAGTGAGATACCACTTCATATCTACCAGCATGCCTATGATTAAAAAAAGGAAGAAAAACAGCAAGCGTTGATAAAGATATAAAGAATTTGAGACCCTCATATGTTAATGGTGTAAATATAAAATGGTGCAGCCACTTTGGAAAATAGCCAGGTAGTTTCTTAAAAGGTGAAACATAGAGTTTTATGACCTAGTAATTACACTCCTATGTATGTCCAAGAAAATTTAAAATATACATCCATACAAAAACATACACAAAGTCTCAGTGGAAGAACATGTGTTTAGCCTGTGTGGTGCCCTGGGTGAGATTCCCAGCACTGTAAACAAACCAAACTTAGCCCCAGAAACATGTACATGAATGCTCATAGCAGCATTATTCATACAAGTAAAAATATTCATGATATCCAAATGTCCATTAACAGATTAGATAAAAGATGGCATATTTATAAATGGAATACTATTCAGTAATAAAAAGTAATTGAAGACTTTTTAGATGCTACAATAAAAACAAATCTTGAGAACATTACACTAAGTGACAAAATCCAGAAACAACACATATAATTTATATATATTATATAATTACATGTGGCAGCTGCCTGAGGGAAGGGGAAAGTGGCAACTAACTGTGAGGCAATGAAAATGTTCTCAAATTGATTGTGGATATGGTTGAACAACTGTGTGAGTGTCCTGAAAACTACTAAGTTATGTACTTTAAATGAATGAATTTTATAGTATGTGAATTACATGAATACAACTGTTTTTTTTTTTAAAAGAAAAAGTGCACACACAGGAAAGGCTTATGGGGAATAATGTCTTCATTACTGCTACAGGCTAGATCATATAATATGTTTTTGATTTGTTAACTAAAAATGCTGAGTTATCCTCAACTCCAGAATTAGGCAGAGGCACGACTGCATAGGGAGGTGGCCTCCAATATGGTAAGACACCATGGAGTCCAGACTCAAGCTCTCTGTGGCCAACTTGCCCAAGAGGGAAGAGTGGTAGGGACTGACTGACCTTGACTCTGCAGGATCAGAAGGGAAACCTCCACTTCCCAGCACAAGGTCATTCTTCCCTAGTAGAAAATGGCAGACCTGAGATGGGCTCATACCAATTTGATAAATCATTCAACTTCCCCTTGGGGCAGAGTAAGATTAAGATATGAAAAGACCAGAAGTATCAAGGGACACTTTGTAGAGCTCCCTTCACCTAGAAGAGGGGAGGGGCTGTTTCTCCCAACACCTGGTTCTTCCATCTTTTTCATTTTGCATTGCTATTCAGACTTTCATTATTTCTTATCAGGACTATTGAAGTCAACTCTTAACCCTTACCTCCACTTTCATTGTCTTGCTTTCTATTCTCTGTGCTTAGAGGACCTTCAGAATACAGAGCTGAAAGATTTATTTGTCCTATATAGTGTTTAAATTCTTTTAATTAATTGCTGTGGCAGACACTACTGAAAATATCTATTTTTTTTTTTTACTTTTCTAGCTGTGTTAGCTTTATGTTGCTATAACAAATATTTGAAAATTATCTTTTTAAAAAATATTTGTTTTAGTTGTAGGTGAACACAATAATCTTTATTTTATTTTTATGTGGTGCTGAGATCAAACCCAGTGCCTCACGCATGGTAGGCAAGTGCTCTACCACTAAGCCTCAGCCTCAGTCCCTGAAAATTATAGAGAAAGGTTTGTTTGGGCTCACAGTTTTAAAGTTTTAAGTCCTCAGTCAGTTGGACCCATTGCTGTTGGGTCTGTGGTGAGGGCAGTGCATCTTGGCTGGAGCGCATGGTAGAAGAAGCTTCTTATCTCATGGTCACTGGGAAGCAAAGACAGAAGAGGGGCCATGGCCCCAATATTCTCTTCAAGGCCTTGTCCCCATATGACTGAAAGACTTCCAGCTAGTCCTCACCTCTTAAAGGTCCACCACTTTCCAAAAGCAACATGGGCTAAGGGCCAAGCCTCCAATGCATAAGCCGTTGGAGGACATTGGACATTTAAGATCTAGCACTAGTAGAATCCTGCTTTTGCTCAGGGTGGTATCGTGCCAAGCTGAATAATTATATTTCTCAGCCTCCTTTACTGTTGGGATTGGAGATGTGACATCTTTGATAAAAAGACAAGAAAGTTGCAATGTAAGACTTTCTGGAAAAGTCTTTAAATGGAGACAGGTTTGATTTGCAGGAGCCTTTATCATTTTGCCTTTCTCCTTAATAACTTGGGAATAGACATGAAGCTGGAAGTGGGACAGCCATTTTGCAACTCAAGTTAACAAGCTAAAGATGAATTCCATAAACTAAAAGAATAGTGTTGAAAGCTAAAAGGAACCTGGGTCCTGGTTCATTGTGGAACCATCTTTTCAGCCCTGGATATCTTACCTAGATTTCTAGTTTTATAAGGAAAATATACTGCTTATTTGCCTAAGCCTCTTTATGTCCATTCAATTTTATTACTTTTAGTCAATCTTACTGAAGAGATCTGGTACCATAAATGGAGTACATCAGGAAATAGAACCTAAAATATGACATTGGCTTAAAGAAGGAAATAAGACTTTGACAATGAGGACACAGTTTTCACAGGCTAGAAAGTACATGACTCTTGTTACATGGTGGTGTGAAAACATTCTTCATGGACAACTGTCTCCTTTTGTTTCTTGGGACATGAACCATAATGTTTTACATTTTTGTTAGAGAAAAGAATAGATATAATTTGTGTTGATAGATCCTGGTTACTTCTTCTCACTTTCAGCAAAGTCCCAAAGGATAGAGATAAATTCAAACTAGAGCTAGCTACTTTGCAAGCAGAGATGGACAATAAAACAACTCGTCTGAGAGCCACCATCTTAGTCCACTTTGTGTTACAATAACAAAATGCCTGAGGCTTGATATAAAAAAGAGGCTTGTTTAACTCACAGTTCTGGAAGTCCAAGAGAATGGTGCCTAGTGAGGATCCCGGGCCCTGGCTGCATCATAACATGGTGGAGGAGAAGAAAAGGAAATGGCATGACGGAGAACAGAAAGATCAACATAGGGTGATGTTGCCCTTGTGAAAATTAACTAAAAAACTGTTTATCAAAGTGCTAGGAGAATGTAGAACACATTGTTTAATAGGTGCAAGAAAAGACTTAATAGCTCTAGGAAAAATCTATGGTTATGACTACTCCTGCATAAAGGTGATGGGAAACCTTCCACATGTTTGAGGCTGGTTGTATTAAGAACTGTGAAGGCTCTGAGACTTTATCCTACTTGCAAGATAACAAGTTAGTTTACCATAGTTTCATGGATGTTGGTAGAAGACACAAGATTCATGGGTCAGAAGCAAAGTACCTCATTACCAGAGAATAAGTACCATGAGCACTTAGCACATTTTCATCAGTTTCCCTTACCCCCAGTTCCCCTGGGGGCTATGTGGATGGACCCAGCTGCATTGCCAGCTTACAGTGTGGGTTGTGTTACATGAGAGGAACCAGAGCTTAGAAGACCCAAATATTTCATACATTTTCTATATAAAGACACTGTATCTTCCTAGATTGTTTACAAACATCCTTGAAAAGTTCATTTGAAACAGAGCAGTCAATGATTCTGCATGAAAGAGATGTAGAGATACAAGAGACCCATGGAAACTTGTTTCCCAATAGTATGATACTTATGGTAGAGTTAATACCCTGGCAAATCAATAGTAATTTGAAAATATCATTAAGTCAAAAATG